CAGCTCAGGATGTCCCCAGCCCCAGCTCAGATGTCCCCAGCCTGTCCCAGCTCAGGATGTCCCAGCCAGGGTGGCACACCCTGCAGGGCCATACCAGGAGGGAGGCTGGGCAGTGTGGCCTGGGGGGCACAGGGAAGGGGCCCAGGAGCAGCACAGGTCACCTGTGGCTCCTGCCACTGTCCCCAGGGTGCCAGGGCAGCTGTGCCCACAGCCCTGGGGAGGCCACCAAGGCCACCCTCTGAGGGACTGTCCCCAGTGTCCCTAAAGCACAGGGAGGATGAGCTTCCCTCACTCCATGACGGGACACAGCAGGAAAAGGCTGAACCCCTGGGTTTGGGTGCCTTTCCCACACCCAGATCCATCCCAGGGCCCTGCATTGTCCCTCTGTCCCCAGCTGGGTCCCCCCACCCCCACAGATCCATTTTCTCCCCTCCATCCCCCCTAAGCCAAGAGTCCTTCCCAGTTCTGCCTCCTCCTTCCCTGGGGGCAGCTCAGCTCTTCCCTCAGAGCAGTTCCACATTCCAGAGCTGGGGATTTGTCCCTCCAGAGCAGATTCTTTATTCCTCCAGAGCAGATTCTTTAATATTCCAAAGCAGACTATTTATTCCTTCAGAGCAGATCCTTTATTCCTTTGGAGCTGTTTATTTGCTCCTCCAAAGCTGATGTTTTATTCCTTCAAAGCAAATTATTTACTCCTCCAAATCAGATTATTTAGTCTTCCAGACCAGATTATTTCTTCTTCCAGGCCAGATTTTTTTGGCCCTTCAGAGCAAATTCTTTGCTCCCCCAGCATAGTTCAATATTCCAGAGCAGATTATTTATTGCTTCACAGAAAATGATTTACTCCTTCAGAGCAGATGCTTTATCCTTCCAGAGCAGTGTGTTTGTCCTTCAAAGCAGATTCTTTGCTCTTTCCAAGCTGTTTATTTATTCCTCCAGAGCAGACTGTTTAATATTCCAGAACAGATTCTTTGTTCCTCCAGAGCAAATTATTTGTTCCTCCAGAGCAGATTCTTGGCTCCTCCTGAGATGATTATTTAATATTCCAGAGCAGAGTCTTTGTCCTTTCAGAGCAGGTTTTCTTTCCCTTTCAGAGCAGATTCTCTGCTCCTCCAGAACAGAATATTTCATATTCCAGATCAGATTATTCAGTTCCTCCAGAGCTGCCCCAAGCAATGCTGGTTTAAGAGGGCACTGCCAGCTCCTGCTGCTGCTCAGCACAATGAAAACTCTTCCAGAGCCTGTCCAGCAGGGAAAACCCATTCCCAGCAGGGAAAACCCATTCCCAGGAGGGAAAACCCATTCCCAGGAGTGGAAAATCCATTCCCAGGCATGGAAAACCCATTCCCAGGAGTGGAAAATCCATTCCCAGGCATGGAAAACCCATTCCCAGGAGGGAAAGCCCATTCCCAGGAGGTGAAAACCCTTTCCACACCCTGTCAGCACCAGGAATTCAGGAACTGCCCTCGGGAAGCACCTGGGAGGTCTCAAGCACCAACTGGACAAAATGGGAGCACAAGATTATCCCTGAGCTAAAGGGATTAATCCAATTAAATTTAATGAGTCTTTGGAAAAGACTTTTATCTCCAAAGCTTTTTCCAGCCCTGAAATCCCCTGGGGTCTCCCTGGGATTGATTAAAGTGCTCCAAGCCCCTCCAGGAAGGAAACTGAGCCCCCCAGGGGAGGGTTGGGACCAGGGAAGGACCTGGATGATTCCCAAGGGAAACCAGAGCACCCCCAAACCTCACCTGAGGCTCTGAACCTCGCTCCAGTGCTTGGAAAAAGCAGGAATCAAAATCCAATGTTTGCAATCACCTTTAGAACTCCTGGGACAGGGAACAGCCCCAAACTTGGTCACCTTGCTGGCACCATTCCAGATTCCAAGGTTTTCCCCATGTTTTCCCAAGTATTCCAGCTCCTATTTCAGCTGTGGGCATTTGACAGCAGCAAAGCTCCAAGGACAGCTGGAAATGCAGATTGCATTTGAATTCTTCATCCCTTGATTTTCAGGGTCTTATCTTGGCTTTCCCAGATTCCCAAAGCCAGAGGGTTTGGATTCCTTCAGGTTTGCCCTTAATGATAATTTCCTTGAATTTGGGACTTTTTCTTTTTTTTTTTTTTTTCTTTCTTTTTGAAGGAGGCTTTTGAAGCATCCACAGCCCTGGAAGGATTTTCTTGCGTTTGATTTGTGCTCACAGCCTTTGGTTGAACAAAATTCTGGGACAATTCCAGAGTGGAGAAATTCCAGGGAAGCTTCCAGGGCCTAAAGGGGCTCCAGGAGAGCTGGAGAGGGACTGGGGACAAGGGATGGAGGGACAGGACCCAGGGAATGGCTCCCAGTGCCAGAGGGCAGGGATGGATGGGATATTGGGAATTGTTCTCTAGGAGAGTGGAGAGGGGCTGGAACTCCCAGAGAAGTCGTTTTGGTTAAAAATCAGCTGGGAAAGGCCATCCCAGCTGGGGCTGCACAGGGACAATCCTGCTTCCTGGAGAGGCTGGGCATTCCCAGGCAGCAAAAACTGGGAAAATCCCCCAAACCCAGGGGCTGAGTGTTGCTCATCCTTCTGGAAATGGGAATAAATGGGGCCCAGGAAGGAAAAGGGGCCTGGGGCAGGAATAACCCAGAGGGGCCCAGGCCAGGAGAAGCCGTTGGTTTTTATGGAATAGGAAAATCTGCTCTTGGATCAGCCACCCAAGGCAGGGGGACCTTTAGGAGCTGCTTGGGGTCACCTAAAATGTCCTGGCCCTTTTCCTGAGGAAAGCCAGGATTCCCTGAATTAGCCAGAATTCCTGAATCAGCCAGAATTCCCTGAATTAGTCAGAATTCCCTGAATTAGTCAGAATTCCCTCAATTAACCAGAAATCCCTGAGTTAGCCAGAATCCCTGAATCAGCCAGAATTCTCTGGATTAGCCAAGGTTCCTGAATTAATTAGCAAAGTTCCTGAATTAACCAGAATTCCTGAATCAGCCAGAATTCTCTGAATTAGTCAGGATTCCTGAGTTAGCCAGGATTCCTGAGTTAGCCAGAATTCCTGAATTAGCCAGAATTCCCTGAATTAGCCAGGATTCTCCGAATTAGCCAGAATTCCCTGAATTAACCAGAATCCCCTGAATCAGCTAGAATTCCCTGAATTAGCCAGGATCCCTGATTTAGCCAGAATTCCCTGAATAAGTCATAATTCCTGAATTAGCCAGAATTCCCTGAGTTAGCCAGGATCCCTGATTTAACCAGAATTCCCTGAATAAGCCATAATTCCTGAATTAGCCAGAATTCCTGAGTTAACCAGGATTCCCTGAGTTAGCCAGAATCCTGAATAAGCCATAATTCCTGAATTAGCCAGAATTCCCTGAGTTAGCCAGGATCCCTGATTTAGCCAGAATTCCCTGAGTTAGCCAGAATTCCCTGAGTTAGCAGAATTCCTGAAGCAGCCAGCACTCCCAGGCCCACGTTTGCCACCTCTCAGCAGCCCCTGGTGACCAGAGCAGCCCCCAAATTTCTCTGCCACTACAAATTAATTAATATTTGTTTGAGCAGCACCAAAGCCCTGGGAGGAGCAGCAGCTCAAAGGTTACTCAGGGTTTGGGTCTTTGAGGTTGCTGCAAGCTCCAGGAACTCCTGGTTTGGGGAATTGCTCTCCAGGGCCCCCGGAATAATTTCTGAGGTCCCTTCCAGCCCAAACCATCCTGGGATTCCACGATACGAGACCCCAGCGGGATCCATGTTCCATTCAAGGATCCATGATCCATTAAAGGATCCATGATCCAAAAAAGGATCCATGTTCCATTCAAGGATCCATGATCCAAAAAAGGATCCATGTTCCATTAAAGGATCCATGTTCCATTCAAGGATCCAGGATCCATAAAAGGATCCATGTTCCATTAAAGGATCCATGTTCCATTAAAGGATCCATGTTCCATTAAAGGATCTATGAGCCATTCAAGGATCCATGTTGCATTAAAAGATCCATGAGCCATTCAAGGATCAACGATCCTTAAAGGATCCATGTTCCATTCAAGGATCCATGATCCATAAAAGGATCCATGAGCCATTCAAGGATCCATGTTGCATTAAAAGATCCATGAGCCATTCAAGGATCCATGATCCATTAAAGGATCCATAAGCCATTCAAGGATCAATGATCCTTAAAGGATCCATGTTCCATTAAAGGATCCATGTTCCACTAAAGGATCCACGAGCCATTAAAGGATCCATGTTCCATTAAAAGATCCAGGATCCATAAAAGGATCCATGTTCCATTAAAGGATCCATGTTCCATTAAAGGATCCATGATCCATAAAAGGATCCAGGACCCATTAAAGGAACCAGTGCTCCCCACAACTCCACATCCACTCCAGGAGCTGCATCCCCATCCATGGGACCTGGGGACATCCCACAGCCCAGCTCTCCTGGTCAGCACCTCCTGCTCCAGGACCAGGGGGTTCCAGCACCTCTGGAGATGCTCAGCCCAGCCAGGTTCACTCCTAGACAGATTCCATCATCCCAAATGCTCCAAAGCCAAGGAACCCAGTCCTTGCTTCACCCCCACAGCACCAACCCAGCAAACACAACTCTCAGAGCAGCAAAGATTCCCAAGGAGAAGGAAAACCCAGAGAGCCCACCTTGAACAAGCCTCCCAGAAATGCCTTTCCAGGGGAGAGGGATGTGCTGGAGCCTCTGCAGGTGTCCCCACATCCTGTCACCCACAAGTGCCACCCTTGCCCAGGACAGGCAGTGCCATTCCTGCCTGGCATCCCAAACCTTGGGGCTGGGACACCCAAGCCCAGCACTCCCCAAAATGCGGGACCCAAGGGGCCACCACAAACCCCGGTGAGAAACGTGACACATCCGGGACTGAGCAGGTGCTTGTTTAGGCATGGGATGGGATGGGATGGGATGGGATGGGATGGGATGGGATGGGATGGGATGGGATGGGATGGGATGGGATGGGATGGGATGGGTTTTTCCACGGAAATCACCCTAGGAAGAGGAAGCTTTTACCTGTTTCTCCCCAGATGGGCAGATACTCGTCCTGCTGGATGTCCAGCATGATTTCCAGGCCATTCCCTGTGCCCCCCTTCACTGTGGTGAGGAGAGGCCGCCCCTCCTCTCCTGAGTTAAACATGTAGCATTTCCCATATTTTGTAAATACCTGCGGGGAAAAAAAAGAGAAATTAGGGAATATTTCCCACAGAATCAACCCCCATTCCCACCTGGCAGAGGGATGGGAAACAGCCACAAGCTGCAGGTCAGGGGCAAATATCCACGTAAATATCCATGTAAAAATCCACATAAATATTCTCAGAAATAGCGTCATAAATATCCACAGAAATCCATCCAGGTTTAATAATTTGTTTAATCATTATGCTTTCCTTATGGAAAATAAAAGAGGAAAGGGAGGAGGGGAAAGCTGTTTGGAGGGAAAACTCAAAAGCTCCTGGAGTCGTTGCAGTCAGTCCAAGCTCTGACAGACACACACTGGCCTTCAGCTCCTGCTAAAAATTCACATAATTCCCTGGTTTTGGGTGGGGTTTCAGTCCATTTAGGCCATGGGAATGCTCTCCTGGCATTAAAAATCCTATATCCCCTTAATTCTTCCCTCTGCCACTGCTTGGAAATTAGAAAGAGTTAAAAACACTTGGGGAAATGAGGAAAGATTTCCTCCATCATTTTGCTCTTCTTCAGTCTTATTTGGGGAGGATTCCTGATAGGAATTCCTGGCAAAGCCCAGGTGGAACCTCCAGGCAGCACCAGCACTGCAAAGCAGGGGAGACATTGGTGCCCCAACATGGGGCTCCAAGAGGGATGTGCTTTCCAGTGGGATAACAAGGGTTTTCCTGTGGAATGGACACAGGTTTTCCAATGGGATGGACACAGGTTTTCCAGCGGGAGAACACGGGTTATCCAGTGGGATGGACATGGGTTTTCCAGTGGGGGGACACAGGTTTTCTAGTGGGAGAAGATGGATGGACAGAGGGTTCCAGGTGGGATGGATACATTTCCAAGTGGAGTGCACATGGATTTCCAAGTGGGATGGACGTGTGAAGACCACGGGTTTTCAAATGGGGTTGACATGTGTTTCCAAGCAGAGTAAACACAGATTTCCCAGTGGGATAACAGATTTCCCAGTGGGGTAACTCAGATTTCCCAGTGGGATAACACAGATTTCCCAGTGGGATAAAACACAGATTTCCCAGTGGGATAACACAGATTTCCCAGTGGGATAACAGTCTTCCTGATGTAATAACAGGTTTCCCAGTGGGATAAAACACGGATTTCCCAGTGGGTAACTCAGATTTCCCAGTGGGTAACACAGATTTCCCAGTGGGATAAAACACGGATTTCCCAGTGGGGTAACGCAGATTTCCCAGTGGGATAAAACACAGATTTCCCAGCGGGGTAATACAGATTTCCCAGTGGGATAACACAGATTTCCCAGTGGGATAAAACACATATTTCCCAGTGGGGTAACACAGATTTCCCAGTGGGATAACGCAGATTTCCCAGTGGGGTAACGCAGATTTCCCAGTGGGATAAAACACAGATTTCCCAGTTGGATAATACAGATTTCCCAGTGGGATAACGCAGATTTCCCAGTGGGATAAAACACAGATTTCTCAGTGGGAACACAACACTCCTGGTGGGCAGCAGAGATGTCCCACCTTTGCTGCTGGTGACACTCAGTGCCCAGGCTCAGCCTTCCCCCTGGAATGGGAAAACTCCCAGAAATCCCAGATTTAACCCCAGCCAATCCCCACTGTGCCCTGCACTGACCGCCCGGGGACATCCAGAGCTGCTTCCTGGGATAAAGGTTCCAGAAAGGCCAGCCTGGGAACCAGCAACAACCAGCAAACAGCAGCAATGAGCACTTGGAGCACGGGAGCCAGAGCTCCAGTCCCTCCGGAATCTCTCCCACATTTGCTGAGCTCATTTGACCCCAGGATGAGTCAGAAACCCAAACAGAAGCTGGAGCCAGCAGAGATTTATTCCCACAAATATTGACATATCCTGACTAATCTAAGTGCCAGGGAAGCAGGTGTGATGGGAGAGAAAGGAAATAATATTTGAATTCAAATAGGAAACATTTGTGAGGGGAAAAACAATATATCCTTTAAAAAGGATTTGATATCCAAATAAAAAAAAATCCCATTTTAATACTTGCCCAACTGATTAAACAGCTCAGGCTGGAAAGAGAAGCTGAGCCTCTGGAAGCAGCCTCATGGATGGTTTTTCCCAGATAGGCTCTGAAGGCAGAAGTCAAAAATTCCTAATGAGGGGAGTTTAAAATCCAGCAAAGAGAAAAAGCTGCAGTGGAGAAAATCAGGGAGAAACAAGACTGGAATGGGAACAACAGCCCAGGGATTGATTTTGGAGCTGCCGTGCTCGGCAGTCTGCAGACAAATAAATCCAGGCAACTTGATGGGGCAATTTTATATAACTGTAAAAATTCCCTGTAAAAAGCTCCCGTTAGGATGTGTTTATCCAAGGAAAAGATGGAACCTGACGGGGCAGCAGGGCTGGAAGCAACCCCAGGGAAACAGACCTCATGGGAACTGGGAAAGGACAACCATGGGGACTCTCAGCCACAGGGATTCCCTTCATTCCCAAAGAACCCACAAAACATTATTCCTAATGGCATTTGAAGATATTTCCAAATTCAAAAATCCATGTGCACTCATTCCAACGCCCAATAAATGGGATTTTAGTGTTTCAGGATCAATGGAGTCATGGAATGGTTTGGATTTGGACCTTAAGGATCACCCAGTGCCTGAACAGGGACACCTCCCACTGTCCCAGCTCCTCTGGGAATTCCATTCCAGCCCCTCTGCAACCCCCAGGGAGGAATTCCTCCAGGATTCCTTCCCAGAATCCCATCCATCCCTGCCCTTTTAGAAGCCATTCCCTGTGTCCTGCCCCCCTCCTGTTCCCTCAGCCCCTCCTGAGGATGTTCCTCCCCTCTCCCCTTGCTGGGAGCGATTTTCTGGGAAAATACAACATTGTTTTTCCAGAGTCTTCTCTTGTTTTCAGGCTCCCTGACAACAGAAAAGGACTCATTATCTGATCATCAGGATAAAGCCTGGAGCTGTTGGGAAGGGTTGGGATTCACTGGAGGCAGTGAACACGAGCAGAGCAGGATGACTTAAATTCAATTTGTGTGGCTGAGGGGGAAAAAACCGCCGAGCTCTTGGAAATGCTTTAACATCCAATAAAAAGGGCCAGAAACAAAATTCCAGACACGTTCCCTGAGAGTAGTCCATAAAAATTCCAATTTGTTACCTCTGATGGAGCACAGGGCCTTTGACAGCTCCTTGGAAAATCCCTGCTTGGGCATAAAGAGAAATAATTCTAAATCTGAGGGGTGGGATTTGATGGAATCGTTTAGGTTAGGAAAAGCCTTTGAGATGATGGAGTCCAGGTCATGAACTGCCTTGGAGTGACTTCCCGAGCCCCTCCTTAGCCAAGGGAAGCCCAAGGAAAATGTTTATTTTGGGAAGTTAAAACTCAGACCAGGGGTATCCCAAACAGATTCCAAGCACAAAGCGGACAACACCACCACCAAAAGCTCCAAGAGAGCCCTGGATAAACAAATCCGGCTGCCTGTGAATCCATCAGACCTGGGAGTGGTATTCCAAAGGCCTGCCTGGAGCAATGGAAAACGGGGCATTCCAGCTTCTACCAGGATGAGCAGAAAAAACATTCCTGCTGAGAAATCTGCCCTTCAATCCAGAGAAAAATGATGGGAAAAGGAACTCGTTGGAAACCTGGGAATGACTTTTCCAAATACAGACAGAGATGCAGGTGAGGGCACGCTGGTAAGGCAGGAAGGAGGTGCCAGATGAAGGTAAAGCCAAGGAAAAAGAAGGAATTGGAATCCTGTGCAGTCATTTCTCCACAACTGTGGGACACAAAGGCTCAGAGAGACATTTCCCTGCAAGCCACAGCCAAGGTACTCATGCAGAGTGGGAAAAAAGAAAACAAAGCGATTTTCAAGATGGGTCCAGGAGAAGGAGAACGTGGAGCTGAAAAACTGGGATGTGTCTGTGCAAGAATATCCATGAGAGGATGGGGAAAAGATCCTGTTTGGTAGGAGAAATACTTTATTCCCTGAGTTTTGCCAGAGGGATCCATTCCCAGGGCTCCCAGCTCTCCCACTGCACTGAGGGTGGCACAGAGCCCTGTCCTGATGACACTTGGATAGAGAGATGGCTCCATACCAGGCTCCATCCCAGTCTCCGTGCCAGGCTCCATGCCAGGCTCCATCCCAGTCTCCATGCCAGTTTCCATGCCAGGTTCCATCCCAGTCTCCATCCCAGTCTCCATCCCAGTCTCCGTGCCAGGCTCCATGCCAGGCTCCATCCTGGGCTCCATCCCAGTCTCCATGCCAGGTTCCATGCCAGTCTCCATGCCAGACTCCATCCCAGTCTCCATCCCAGTCTCCGTGCCAGGCTCCATGCCAGGCTCCATCCCAGTCTCTGTGCCAGGCTCCATCCCGATCTCCATCCCAGGCTCCATCCCAATGATCCCTCTGTCCTCCCAGGCAGGAGGCAGTGGGACATTCTTTAAAATGGAATGATGGGAAGAAAATCCCAGCAGATGCCCACAGGGGTCTGAGGGATCCCAAAGGAATCCCTTTCCAGGGAGGCTGACCCTTGGAAAGGAGGGAACTCCAGGAATAGGCAGAAAGGATTTAATGTCCTTTCCCAGCAAAGGGCAGAGGGAAGGAATCCAAAGCCAATCCCAGCAGAGGGGGTGCAAGCCCAGCCTTTAGGGCATCCTCTTCATGCGTTATCCACATCCCAATCCTACAAAAACACTGGGAGAGTTCAAAAATCTCAGAGCCATCAATGTCAAAGGGGATTTGGGTCACCCTCATCTGACCATAAGGCAAAGCTCTTCCAAAAATGAACAAAATCCAGGAGAGGGAACTCCTGGAGAGGAGAAATTTTGCATCTGCTCCCTGTCCAAGGGCAGTCTGTTAAACTGCTGCTTGTTTGTGCTGTCAGGAAGGCACAGAGCCGGTGTCAGACATGGAAACGCTCATCCCTCCCTCCCTGCCGGCTCTGATCTCCCAGGGATTGGGAGGGAGCTGCGGGAAGCACAGCCAGGAACTTGTCAGGGCTGTGTTTACAAGTAGAGGGTTTCCAAGGCTGA